CCCCCCCCCCCCGCCCCCTTTCATCTCCTCACTCCCCGCTGCTGGATCCCTTGGGGCCACAGGCGGGGCACTGCCAGGGGCTTGTTTCCCCCCCCCCCCGCCCCCACTTGGGCTTTCCCTTCCCAACACAGAGCTGGAGTGAAGTTCTGTGGTGCCAAAGTGCCAGCTGGCTAGATGGTCAAATCAAAGCAAAAACAAATGGGAACTGGGACCAAATTCAATGATGCAACCTCATGGGGTTTTGGAGGAGGAGGCAGCAGAGGGAGGCCAGGCCCCTGCACAATCCTCTGAGCCTGCCCTCCTCCCCCACATTCCTTAGCCCTGTGCTGACTGCCAAGCAGAGATGGTGGCCTGTTAATCTCTGTACCGCTGTTCCTGCCTAATTTCTGGGGGCCAAGCCAGCCCCTGCACATTCCATCTCTGACCAAGGGAAGGACCAATTGGACACACACACACACACACACACACACACACTGCTCCCAGTCCTCACTTTGAGGGCTGTTGGCATATCATACAGTCTTGTTACATGCTTGGGGAGGAAGAGCTCATTCCTAAGAGGAATCAAACTCTAACCACAAGCACCAGTGTGGAGGCCCATTACAAAGAATTGTGAGTTATCAAGCAGAAAAATTTACCTTTGGTTCCTACACATATGAATACAAACATGTGTACTTCCATAGCAACACTAGGGCTGCTTAGGGGTCCTAAGATAGAGGTAACCCCTTTTGGGAGGTAAGGTGATTTTTCCCATTCCACAGGCCAGTAGTAGTATTTTATTTGAAAAAGCTCTCTGGCTGACACCGTTACAGACTTTTACAGAGTAAAAAGACAAGGCATGGAAATTACACTCCCCTTCCCATGCTGCAGAAAGCGATGAATGTAGAGGTTGCTTTATGGCTCAACTGACCAAAATGAAGACACTAAATGGAATGGGATGGGTTCACACATCCAACAGAGGATCCCTGCTTTCTTTAGGAGGTTCTAGGAATGCCCTAGAGAGCAGCACAGCCTCTCAAGCTGGGGAGTTTGAATTATCTACTAGACCAAGGGGTCTGTGTTGAAGCCAGTAAGCCCATCCCTGTCATATCTTGACCCTAGGACTCTACCAATCTGCTCCTCAGCGGAAACATAATGGTAAACACAAATATTAGCAGAATTGTTCTTGCATCTAAGATAGAAATCGTTGCCTTTTCTACTGCCCCCGTTTCCTCTTCCACTGAAAAGTCTAGAAACACTACAGGCATACATATTCAGACACACATGCTGATTCCAAAGGATGGGTCCTTCATGGTGTATGAGAAAACCTTCCCACTCTTCCATTTCTGCAGCCCAATATGCCCTGGGGGTGTGTTGGGCACCAGACCCACACTCCAGCACACACCAGTAGTTCCCTTTTACTGCACAGTTACATTCAGTCCCTGGCTGATCCTCCCCATTGTTTCTTCAGGGCCACAACATTACCCAAAATGGGGTGACTATGAGACAAGGGGGAAGGCTCACTGCTGGTTTGGCCTGCTGCCCTCTCCCCAGTACCAACAGTCCTTGGCCACTACTGAAAGCAAAATCAAAGTCCATCCTTTTATGGGGAAGTTTTGTAGTTTCATTCTTTCATTGTTTATTTGGGAAGAAGGAAGGCCTGGATTATTTGGTAAGTTTTCCTGGTACCCTGTCTCTTCTACTTTTGTTTGGGGATGGGATCAAGTTTGAATCTGGGAGTTATCTCCCTGCATCCAAGGTCCACCTTTCTTTCTATCTATCCTTCCTTTCTTCCTTAATAGTTAAAGCCATATCAGTTAGACTGCAATACTATCAACGCTAAAAACTCTGCAGGCTGCGCTCTGTCATGCTGTACAAAGGAGCGTCCTGGGGTCAGGGACCACCCTCTCACCCCCTTGCCTGCTTGTCTGTGTCTCTGGCCGCCCAACATGTTTTTGCATAGGTATCTCTGTAACAGGGTAAATCACCCCAACACCTGTTATTTGTCTTATTGTCTCTGCTAGTCACTCACTAGATGGTCATTGTATGGCCCCCATGGAGCTGGGAGCAAAGGGTCCTCAGGCAAAGTGAAGAGGGGACCAGGCTGGAGGTGGTAAGGGGACAGCCCATTAACACCTGTTTTGTCAATATAACATGAGATTGTCTGCAATCATCCATAGGACAAAAGAGTGTGATTGTGAGGGACCAGTGAGAGTCCTGCAAGTTCCATGTTGGTTGCTAGGCAAGCAAACTTTGTGCCAAAATGGCAGGACTTTGCCAGGGGTACACAGGTTGTCTATTGTCTACATAACCCTCCTGGTTGTATGTTGAAAACTGCAATAAATCTGCTTTTCACATGGGGCAAAGGGCTGATGCTGAAGCCAGCTTCCCAACTTGTGGTGATGCTGTTGCTCTCAGTTGACAAAATTACCACTACACCCTCTCGTTGGTATCCCCATCCCCCAGGGTAGGCAGAGAGAGGTACCAGTAAGCCTCTGGACCCCACCAGCCTGAGAGCTCCATTCTAGGCAAGAGCAAGAGACAGAAAGAAGCCATGTCTTGTAACATTGGAGGGACATGGAATGGCAATGCCCACAGAAAATGAGGTAAAATGAAACCTGGCTTCACCATGTGTGAATGTCCGTAGGGCCTCCTAGGCCCCATCTCACACGAAAAATATACAAATCATGAAGCTAAGCCTCTTCCTCTGCTACTAGGATAGGAGCAGAAGCCCCAAGCCACAGGAGACATATTTGTGCTGCAGCTCCTCCTTATTTCAGCATCCTCTTTACTGCTGGGGAGGAACCATTTTGGTGCCCCATGATCTTTGACCTCAGGTTTCTGACATTATCTTCATGTCACTGGGAGGAGTTGCAGGACACAGTTCCCAGGTCACCGAGATAACCAAGAGAAACCCCTGATGTTCTGCTTCAAATTTTAGTTAATGGAGCTGGAGCAGCTTCCAATTTGAAGTGTACATGCACTGCAGAGAGTATATGTGTGTTTATGTATGTGTGTGTGTGAGAATGAATGAATGAATGAATGAATGAGAGGAGGAATGAGAGGAGGAATGGAAAGAAAAGAAGGGATAAAAGCCAAAGTAAGTTCAGTGGTGGGTATTGGTCTGTTTCCCTCCTCCAGCTTTTCCCAACTTGGTGTCCTGCAATTGTGTTGGGACTTCATTTCCTCAAGTGCCCAAGCTGAGTTCCACCATATCTGGAGAGTTCTATCTTATCCCATATATAAAGGTTAAGATATCCTTCTAGGTCACCAGATGATGGGCAACTGTAGACTCCAGCTGCTTTTGCCAAAACAACAAAAGCAGCGTCATGCCATTGTGCTGCTGTCCCTTTTGGACGTGCAGGAAACATGATATGCATGTGTACAGAAGGGGCGTGGCCTATGTCATGGTGCTGCTTTGCTCAGATTGACCAGTTTGACTCCCTGCAGAGGCTGGTGACCAGACTCATTTTTGTTCCAACACTTTTTGTGGCCAAGAAACTTACACAGAAGGCTTGCCCGCTATGTGAGGCACACATGCATCATACAACCTGATGCATGTGCCTGTCATTGCTATGGATGAAAAGATGTTCATATGTCAGAGAGTGACCATTTGCAAGCATTCATGAGCAAAAGGTGGGTGAGAGAGAATAGCATAACAGGGTAAGAAGGCATGTTGAGTGTTTCTTGCATTACCTCCAAGCATATGGTGTGTGAGACCACAGGACAAGTGATTGGTGTATCTGTCTATGTGCCTGAACAGATCTTGAGGGACAGGTATGTCTTGCCATGAAACCAGGAGAAATGTTTGAGTCTGTTTCCCAGGTATCAGTCGAAGTGTGCCCCCAGTGAGTGTGCCATTTTTTTTTCAAATGGTTTCCAGGACAGGACGTCCTTTGGGGACTCACTACTGTCACAAAATAATTGACTCCAGCCTTCTGATGCATCCTGTCCTCTCCTTGGCTGGTGCCCAAGAACTAGTTGTCACATGCATGGAGTTGCTCTTGTCTACTTCCTCTTACTAGTCTGTGGGGGCAGTTGACTGCCCCATGTACTAACCCAGGGGGCTGTATGAATCATTCTGCCTTGCTTGCGCCATCTGCTTTCTAGAATCATTGTGTCTAATTGGCTAGTCCTCGTCCCACCTGCAACCACAAAGTGATGGGGCAACATGCATTCCATGGGCAGTCCAGTGCAAACACAGCTCCCTGCAGGCCCTTCAGGTTATTGCTGCTGGGGGGAGGCTGACAGGCAAGCTGTGCAGCTGAACCTGAGCCAAAGGAGTGCATGACTTCTGAGTTTTTTGTTTAACCTGGGCGCTGGCAGGGAGCTGGTAAATGCCCCTTTCCCAGTCTTTGTGGGGTGAAAGATGCAGGCAAAAGGGGCAAGGAAGAATTGAAGGGCTCCATCCATCCACCCTATGGTGACCATTCTGCTCTACCTAGTCTTTGAAGAAAAATAATAAAATAAAGAAGTTTGTACATTGCCCTGTGTCAACTGTCTCTGGGATCCAACAAGAAGGGATTCTGGTCACCATCGGCCCAGCTTCATAGCACGCAATGAATTGACCCAGCAATGCACCTGGGGAGAAGAATGATCAGAGAGCCAGAAGAAGCCTGGGGCCCTCTCCTTTTAGGACAACGTCTTGCCTGTCTGTAAAGGCTACAGAGGGATGCTGTTTTTCTGGGAGGGGGCAG